CCATAAAATATCAAGCAACAATCGAACAAGAATGGCAGTAAAGCTCTAGCTCATCTTAAGCTAGATGTGAAGCAAACTTATTATTAAGGTAAGCATAATATCTGTAAATCATATTAGCTGAACCAACTACAATACGGGCGTGACGCGTCGCGGAGCTCGCGGGTAAAAACTTGTGGCTGCGTGCATGTCCGCTGCTCGAAGCGCTCCGTAGAGCAGTCGCATTAAATGGATTCTATGCAAATCGCTAAAGTTTCATTTAGAGGAGAATTATGCGTTAGATGGAACCAATTAGATGCAGACAGCACTTCTTCGTCAGGGGGAAGTTTCTCTAACAGTTAATGCTTATTTAGGTCATTGTGACTCCCATTGGGACGATCTGTTTGATAGGTGTCGGGAATTTGTAAAGTGTCTATAGAAGAAAATGTTTTTTTTTTTGTTTCAATTGTTATTACAAAATTAGCACAACATTGGAGTTTGGAAAAAAATTCCGATTTTTCATTTGAGAGCAAAACAGGCCTGGAGCAAAGTCGCCGGCTCCTCTAATAGTGTCTAAAGTACAGCTGGCATACTTAGTTACGCCTATACGTATACTACATTTACTGATAAAAAAAATCCAGGACAAAGATATGATTAAAGGACATGCAGAAATGAAGACGCTACCGTCACGGTAGTGCTTATTTCAGTGTTTAGAGGGCTGAAAATGGCTGTGTGTGTCTTTTAACTATATGATTACAGTCGCCTGGTAATGTATTTTGTATAATGTTCCTCACAACAATTGTAAAAATGCTTTAAAGCGTGTGCAACAGTAATTGACGGCCGAGTTCTACTAGTTCCCCAACATCTATAAAACGGCCGTTGTTTCTAGCGCTGTAAGTTTTAGTGTATAGTTCGTCGTGTTTATAAGTACCTAATTCTGCAAAATCAATTCATTAGTGCTTCTCAAGACCAAAATGAGGCATCGAATTCTATGCACCTATAGTTACAGATGGTAATTCCGGGGTGATGACCGCGACAGGGGTTTCTGCTAGCATTGATTATGTGCTATTAAGCTAGAGCAAGCTTATAAAAGGAACTTCAGGTTAACATTTTTCATGTGAAATAAAACCGGTATTTTCTATTTTTCAGTCAAAAATGTTTCTTTTTAGAGCATTCTAAAGTTCTTTGCATGCTATTTATGCTATGCATATACGTTAAAAATTACCCTCAAAATTACCTTATATTTGCACTGTTTTCTTTCCCTGAGAGATCTCTGGAAACTAAATATCAATATATGCCGCTCCGATCGACTCCTCTTTGCGTCATCTATTACAAATTCGCTAAATCGAACACAAAACCGTTATACACTTTGTTGCTCTTTTTTTTTTTTTCTCTAGAACGTGCTCCGGCGTCATCTTTCATCTGATAATATCCCCGCTGTCCAATTATTCAACGCATCCAAAAGTAATACCTTGTTATTATCATGGTTATGTAGAAACTAACAGTGCCAACTGCAAGGAATAGACCAAAGTCACACTAAAATACATATGAAGATATCTCCTAACATTATCATTAGTACAAAGTTATGATACGAAATTTACGGCCAGATCAACCACTGATTTGAAACTCTATAGTAACCTGAATTAGAAATGTACATGTAACAACATATGTAATAGTTTTTTATAAGTGCGCTTATTGCTATTGCGAGCTGTTTTTTTTTTGTAGGAATATCGATTGGATCGAATGGTAATTTTGACTGATGTGTATCATAATATATAAACCCGTTTTGTAGTAAATAAGAAAAAGTAAAAGAGTAACTTTGTCTAACAGTAGTACTATGAGAATGAGAGGTGCTCTTCTATGGCTGGGCACAGACGTACTCGCATATATGATACAGGCCTATCGACATAATTATTCTAACGTGGCCAAAGTCACATTTGCTAAAGTCTCTTCGCACTCAACTACATTATATCCAATAGAATATAATTGTTGTTCAACATTTAGTCCGAAGCTGAGATTTGCACCCTTGCAGGGTGTTAAATATAATACTAGACTGTTATAAACAGACCGACGGACTTTTAAATTAAATACTCTTGAAATACGTGCCATCAGTGATGTTTCGCTGGTAAATACTTTGATCCTTTAAAAATCTTCTGGTGAAAATCGGTCGAGTCTATTTTTTTTTATATAATTTTTTATTGTGAATAAATGAGAAACATCTTCTAATTCCGAGAATCCATGCTTACATTTTTGTACATTTTTGTTTCTCGAAGGCCACAGTGGTGCAAAAATTTTAATATAATAAAATTTTTAATATATAATAAAATTATAAAATAGTAAAATTTAATAATTAATGAACGCATTAGGCAAGGAAGCCTTAAGCGAAGGTACGGTATGTGAATAGTGCGAACGTTCCAAAAAAGACTATGGAGGTGTTAAAGGTTAATGAGATAGGAACCAGATGTCGAAGTCAGAGGGACAAGAATGCATTGCAGCAATTAAGAAAGCTTTTCACAAAGGCAGAGCTTCGAGTCTAAGGGCTTTGTAGGCCAAACCTGGCATTTCACATATAATGTGTTACAGAATCAAACTGAACCCAAGTACGGAAAGTACACAAACTGAGTTAAAAATGAATGAACTTAAATGACTCCGGGGCAGTTGATGAATTTCACGTGTAATTTGCCGAACTTTGATCTACAAAATCCTTTCTAGAGCATATGGTCACCGTACACGAAGCATGGTGCAACCGCTGGAGAGAAGTCAGGTTAGAGAATGGTGTCGTTTTCGAGAGAAATCGAACTCGAAAGCAGTATCGGGTAGGTTCGAACGTAAGGTGATAGTAATACTTGCAATGCGCACCAGGGGTATCTGCTATTGTAAGATGCTTGCCAAAAATGAAACAACGAATGCACCCCGCTATTCCGAGTTCTCCAAAAGACTCGTGGCCAGTTGGCACGGCAATTGAAGACAACGCTAAACCTCGCCGCCATGCCTCGATTGCTTCCTGGATTGGACAAAGAATGTTCAACCTTAGCTCATCTGTCTATTCTCTCGATTCGTGTGATTATGGGACTTTACGTGCCCTGAAAAGGCCAACTGGTGGACAAGAAAATATCGTTGATATATCGTTGTCGATTTACTCCGCGAAGCCAAAGACAACGAAACTATATATGGGAACGTAAATGACGTGAGTGTGGGTACTCAGAAGCGAGCAGAGCGCCAAGGCAAATGTGTAAAAAGTAAAGCCAAGTATTACCATTACATATTGAAAAATCGTCATCCTAGCCTAACAAACTCAAAAGTTATTGAATTTTTCAAAGCTCACCCTGTAGCAGCCAAATATGATAGAGGTGAATGGTATTTAAGCCTATGCAAGTATCAGAGTTACCTTAGACTGAAACCACTGCCGAATAAAGAAATTGGTCTATTTCTTCCGGTGCATTGGCCGCTTGACGGCGATAGCTTAGCTAATTAAATTTTGATAACACATAATATTGCAACATTTTGATAAGAACAACTCGTCGTCGTTTAATAAGCCAAGACTGAAAGGCGCTATTCTGCTGTAATGGACATAAGGGGTCAAATGGCCGTGGTAAGACGGTGGAAGCTCACACATTAATTTGCCAGGAAATTGTCGCTTCTGTAATTTCTTCTTCTGTAATTAAAGTGTTGATGACGTCTAAAAACATACCTTCATGTACCAACAAGAGAGCGTCTAGTCTACCGAACTGATAGATATGGATTAACATTGTCTAAATAACACTGAAAGTTAAAAGTATAGGAGGGGGTCAGGTCATTTACGATGCTACTTAATTAATACTAGTAATAACACTATTAGAAACGATTATCTCTTGTAGAAACAAACTGCTCGGGTTTGTAGAAATAGACATGCTCTTAACACAGATGGCCATTTTATGTCCGTCCTGACACTGAACAGGCACTATAAATGGGCTACGAATTGCTATCCATTGCTATTCATAGATGTTAATTCTACTTGAAAAACGAAGACACACTGTAGACCTATATATATATA